ATCAGCTTTATCCGTAAGTCTCATGGTGGCCGGGAAGTAGCTCTCTAGTTCTTTGTTTCTTACTGCAGCGGCACACGGTTTGTTTTACTGCAGTAGTTGTGTGGTAGTGATTATTGTTTAATGGGGGTGCAGTTCTCAGTAACGACCACAGGAGGGAAGAAAAACATAATTCAAACTAAATGAACAACCGATCTTCTGCATTTTTAGTTATGCATGATAAGGAGTCATCTTCTGCCTGCTGACGCCAATTGCCCCGGACTGCGTTTCTAAATATAGATGGGTGAGATGTCATAGTTCAAATGGCAAGGAGAGGCAGAGTTTACTTTCACATGGAAATCCAGTAGCTTCTGAGCTGGTAGGCAGCAGTATTTCATAAATGGCTCCTACCTGTTGCCTGCCCATAATTCCATCCCTTGGAGAATCTTGATTGGGCCCTTGCCACCCAATCAGAGTACACCGATTCTGTCAGCTTGCATTTACGGCAGTATCTCCCAAGGCTTGTACATTATTAGTGCTGGACTTTCAGAACTGCATTAGGTAAGGAATTCTTTCTGTGCCCCATGTGTCACTTTGCAGTGAATTTGCATTCATTTGACTCCTCGCTGAGTAAATGGGCTTGTTTCTACTGCAGAAATCTTAGTGGGTGCGTGACACAGCCTTTAGCAACCAGGCTTTTCACATATGAGACTGACACTAGTTTTCAAAGGAAAGATTACTTCAAGGAACAATTCACAACCAAAACCGCGCACTCACGCAGATGCACACCTTTGTGTTGAAATGTCTGTTTGTGGGTGGGGGCTGTGGGTGGGGGCTGTGGTGCATGTAGTAACATCATTTTAACTGGTGTTCAGTAGCTCTCTGCTCTGGATCTTCAGCTTCTGACAATGATGCCTCGATGTCTAGTTATAACGCATCCTACTGAGTGGGTCTGTTTTTAGGGGCTCTGGTATGAACCGCCCTAGACTCCACCCCCTCTTGTTACCATAGTTTCTGTGGTTTGTTTTTATTTCTCTAATCTTTGCCGGATGGGGTCCGTCTGGCCACCCTCCAGACAGCAGGGTGATTCTTGGGAAGCCTAAGGACTCGTTCCCAGTACGGACATCCCAGATACCAGCTCAGATGAGGCCCTGTGCTTCTCCTGCCATGCTCAGATGGGCTGAGAGAGACTATAATTAATAAATGAGGGATCGTCTTGCTGGCCGCTGTACAGTTTACTAACCACATGCAGGTCCATTTGCTATTCATAACCTCACATTTAAGCACCTTATTATATTGATCGTTGTAGTTGTACAGACCTGTATTTTTAAATGTTTATCGTTCAGAAACACCAAGGCTAACAGCGCCATGCCGATCAGTTCTGCTTGGAGTGGGGGCAGGTATTGCTGGGGCTGTCTAGCTGTATGTCCTGTGTATCGCATTTTTCTAGAACTTCCTCAGCTTCCTGTCGCCTTGTGATGGAGCGGCTCGGGGGGGTGTGTGTGTGGGGGGGGGGGGGGAGTGCTTGGCAGTGTTGTCTTCTGCCTGATCTTGTGGCAGCCGCACCATGGCTGACGCAGGCTGAACCAAACAGTTTGTTTCTGTCGTGGGGAAGGCTGTTTATATTACATCGAGACAAAAAGCCTCTTATTTTCATGTCGTGGGAACCACCTTTTTCATCCCCACAAGGGAAACTCAATTTTATAAAAATCTGTGACTGCAATCAAAAAAACTAACGATGCCAATAATCTTGTATTTTGTTTGGTTACTTATAGTTAACATTATGGCTGGGTAGGGCTCAAGGATGTCAATGTTGGGATTTGAGTTTTTCCCGTGGAAATGAATGGAAGGTCCACCTAGAGATATAAAAACAAATGTGTGTGTCTCAGTACGAGGCTCTGCTTGGCCAGCTGTTATATTTTGAGTTCATCCTGCACACCAAAGCTTTCTTTTGACCTCATTACTGACTGGCATTGTTTAAAACATTACAAACGGACATGGGGAGCAGCCAGGAATGTATGTATGTCTTTCTGCGCTGCTGCAGAGTATCCAGTCAATCAGTCAGAAAATCCCCAGAGCAAAATGCAAGCTGGAAAGGCAGCAGCCAGGCATGTGTGTGCATCTTACTCCCTAGAGCAGCATTCAGGGCTGGAAGGCAGCATCACTGTGTGGGGGGATCCCACTCAGAGCCACCGCACAGTGCAGCCTGTGAGATGTGGCGCTCTCCGCCATCTCCCCCTCTTCCCAGTGACATGTGGTACATTCCAGCCCTGTGTCAGTGCTATTTAAATGCGGAAGCTTTCAGTGACGGCTGTTAAGAAGCCGGCAGCTAGAGACGAGGGGTGGGTGGGTGGGGGGGATCCCATCTCTGTTTTGTTCTGCATCCAGCCGCAGCGGAGGCTACGCCAGCCAGACCGGGCCACTCGGTACGTTCCTCTTGCCGACAATTAGCCTCTCAAGCTGCTTTTGCTTTCCTAGCTACTGTAGCCACACTAAGCAGCAGCACACAGCAGACCATCCCAGCGACACTCTCCTCCTCTTTCCCCTTCTCCCTGGGTCTCCGTTTTGAGTACGAATGTATGCTTATTCCAGTGTGGCCTGGCTGCACGTCTCAGCATGTCAGTGGCTGCATGTACCGCATGCGATTGTGTTTCGAAGTGCTCAGCAGGACACCGCTAACAGAGGCTCTAGTAGTTGGGGGGCCAAGAAGCGCCCCCCCCTCCCATGCCAGGCGAGGCCCCAGCTGCCCCCCGCCTACTGCCACACGCTCCCACGGGCCGCTCCAGAGGCTGCGATTTCATGCAGTGCTGCAAGAAAAAGGGAACCATTTGGGACCCATTAACTCAGTCTATAATGTGAGCATCCTAGAAATAAAGTAATTTAATGTGCCAATTGTGAGCCATAAGTGACCTTGAGTAGAAGAAATGTGTGTTTGTGGATGTTTACTTCACCCCAAGCAAAGGTGTGGTCAGTGTGTCACAGTCACACACACACACACAGGTTTGTAATTATATCTTTGCGGGGATATAATTCCATTCACTTCTAGGGGAAATCTGTAATCCCAACATGACGACTTTAACCCCTACCGAGCCCTAACCTTAACCATAAGTAACCAAACAAAGTACAAGACTTTTGGCATTTTTAGTTTTTTGGTTGATGTCACCGATTTTTATAAAATTGAATTTCCCCTTGTGGGAACTGAAAAAATGTCAAAATAACAGATTTTATCACATTGTGGGGACATTTGATCCCCACAATGTAATATATACATAACCTGGACACACACACACACACACACACACACTCTTATCTCAGAGATGCCTCTGTATCAAAGGGGCAGCTAATGGATGCCTCTGTGCACAATCTGCCTGCCTTGCCCGCTTTGCCCGCTTCGCCCGCTTTTCTGCCAGTCACACCTCCAGACAGGCCAGGCTGGTTTCTCTGGCACTTAATGGCCCAAATTCAGCTACATGCTTTTTTCCCAGCAGACTTGTCACCAGTCACTGACAACTGGAAATCTGTCTGTAGCTGGGTATGCTGGTGTGCACCTCTGCGTGTTATGGCTGCTCATACTAGTCTACCTGCTTACTGGACCTGTTTAATAAGGTGCTTTACGTCAAGATAAGGAAACACATTATGATATCATACACTGGAAATACTTGTTTCCAGTAGTACAGTTTGTGTCTGAGATATGCTATAGAATTACTGAGATTCCTTGCACATTGGTGACCAGAATAGAACACGGCGTTCACAAAATAGTGGTGCTTCTCTCTTTCCATGTCCCCACATTGAACTGCATTACGATTAAGGACAGTAAAATCACGGCAAGAGCCATAATTTTTTAAAGGTCTGTGTTTGTCAGCATTGCACCATTTTGTCAGTCTTTACAAATGGGGGTCATCCCCATCCGCTCCAGTTAAATGAGATTAAGGACTTTAAATCTATCTCACCAGTGTCATTGTCCTTATGTGTGCAGCTTGGACAGCGTCTGCATCCATCTTAGGACCACATAACCCATAAACGAGGAGCGCAGTATATTGAAAGATCTGCTGATAGTCGAGCATTTTCTGGCAGTTTATAAGGTTCTATTATGTGGTGAATTGTACATCCTGAATAGCAGTGTTACACAGCTTTGGGGGTGAGTGCCATGAGATGAATGTGATTGTGTTTTAGGTACTCAGTGTTTTTCCAGCTGAGATCAGCATGTGTATGTGTTTGTGTTTTGGGGTTAGTGGAGATCATGTCCTTCAGGGCTTTGTGTGAGTGTATTTTTGTGTATCTTCTGGTTGTGGTCTTGAGATCTTTCAGTATTTGGTTCTATTTTCACGTGAAGGACATCATCGGGATGCCAATGCTGCGTGACTGGAGACCACAGCTGACAAGGAGTGGGGGGGCATTTTGATGGCAGAAAGGGATTCTGGGTATTTTCTAAGACCGGGAACGGGAAGGATTGTCTGGATGTTTTTCCAGGACCAAGATTGGGGTTGTCTGCACATCCAGAAGCCTTTCTTCTTCTTTTTTGACCTTCTTCCGCTGCTGTACTTGCACAAACACAGGGCATAATCGCTATGGTAACTAAAAGCTCAGAAGGACAGACAGCTAAATTTATCCCTTTAACAAGCTCTGCATCTGATGGGTACTTTGCTGAGCCTGTAAACAGCCCATAGCCCCAAGATGGGGGGGGGGTTATTGCCCCTTACTCTCCATCACAATCAGTGCTACCCTGGTACATGTACCAGCTTGGCATTCTGGGTAGGATTGTGAATGTGTGGACAGTAACTGTCTAGGAGGCAACGTGTGGTTTGCATAATGTTCGCACACTGTGTGGAGACACAGAACTGTTACGCCGCGAGGTTTTTGTTATCAGATCAGGTCCAGGTGGCTGATCTCTTCTCTGTCATGAACACACCGCAACAAGCATCTCTCAGCATTTGTCATATGGTGTGAACCATGATTGGTCTTTGATGGTTCTCTGTCAGCCAATGGAAAATCTCCTAGTAAAGCTCCACCTCCTTTTTTGGTAGATTTGCGAGGTATCTCCACCTCCAAGGCCCTCCCGCCTCAGCGATCCCTACCGGGGACCCCAGTTTCCCTCAAGCACTTTCCCATTGACTTGCGAACCTCCATGGATGGCAAATACAAGGAACTCGCTCAGGTGAGAGAGGTGCACCACTGTTCACCGTCCCGTTTAGTGTTGGAAGATGGCCGCAGGTGTGTTTGTGCGTGAGCAACAGAAGACAGATGCTGTGGGGTCTTACCCACAATGCATACAACATTTTAAAATTGATTTCTTTTTAACTTAATCTGTTTTTTGTTTACAGTTTTCTTCTTTGAGTTTTTTTTTCATAGCCCGTGGTTAGAGATGCCGGGTGCAGAAACTCACGCTGTTTGCACCCACAGGAGCTGTTCACGCGAGACAGCGAGATGCGCAGCGCCCCCTATGAGTTCCCAGAGGAGTCTCCCATTGAGCAGCTGGAGGAACGGCGACACCGTCTGGAGAGGCAGATCAGCCAAGATATCAAGTGAGACACCAACTCTCGCTTTTGCGTGTATGTAAAACTCATGCAGTGACACACAGATAAACAGTGACATACTGAGGTCCATGTGCAAACATATACATGCCACCAAGACACATACCCTTGTAGTAGCACTGAGACAAACACGGGAGGGATACAGATAGACACTCAAACGCGTCCCAGAATGAGCCGCTTTTGTATGATTGGGCAACTTGTTACAGAAGGACCACTAACAGTGGACGCAGTTGTCGTGGTGACACAGGTTAGGATGTGGGCTGCTTTAATCACGCTGTCAGCTTGGGGTTCCTCCAGCAGCTTGGCCACAGCCCTCAAAGCTCTTTGACTAATCAGGTTGACCTCTGCAGTCTGATTGTATTTTTCCTGGTGTTTTCCATCTACCTCTGTGTCTCTCTCTAACCCTGTGTGTGTGAGTTAGTATTTCCTTTTTTGGACATTTCTGTTTAATGTCTGTCTGTATCTATGTGTGTCTGCTGGGGTCTCTGGATCTGTGTGTATTGCTGTTATCGGTTTATATCTGTGTTTTTCTGCATATCTCTGCGAGTCTCTTTCCCATCCCCTGTCTCTGCTTGGCCTGCTCACGCACTGCCTGCCGTGCCTCACCCTTCCCCAGGCTGGAGCCTGAGATCCTGCTGCGAGCCAAGCAGGACTTCTTGAAGATCGACAGCGCTGCTGATCTGGAGTGAGTGCGCTGAATGTCTACGCGTCAGCGTTCCAGCCCAGTGTGTGGTAGCGTGTTAACGTGACGACATGCCAGCGGTCTGTGTCAGCGTCTGTGTATAATGGCATGTCAGCACATTAGCATGCTAGTAGGCTAACACCTGAGCTTGTTAACAGGTCAGCCTATTAGTTTCTGCATGCTAAGCATGTCAACATATTCGCATGCCATGAGGGTAACGCATCAGTATTTTTGCATGTTACAGTGTCAAAATAGCATGCTAGCACGTTGGTATGTCTGCATTTCTGTATGCTAGCATGTCTCTGCAAAAGCATGTAGCTCAGCATGTGCTGGAAAACATCACTGTGGTGGTGGGTTAGCATGTTAGCATGGGAGGATGCTACATGCGAGCATTACAATGTATCAGCAAATGTGGCTTGTAGTCATCTCTATAGCATGCGCAGCAAAATTTTAGCTGACTTGATCATTTTCTCCTGGTCGATCACGAGTGGGTAATGCAGATAAATATCTGTTCAGTCTCTGAGTTTTGTCATGAGTAGGGTGACCACTCATCCAGTTGTCTCCCGGACAGTCCGGTTTTCCAGCCCTCTGTCCGGAATGCTGTTGGGTGTTCTCTATTTAGCCCCCTTGTCCTCCTTTTAGTCCCCTTGTTCTCCCCCCCCAACCCCCCCCCACCCCATCAACAATTACCACAGCTCTCTCCAACCCCCGAATGCACCACAAATGTGAAACTCGCATGTACTATGGACATTGAGAGTGGGCATGCTTGCAATGAAATTTTTATGTAGTTTTATCGAAATAGGTAGATCATCAACTTTTCTTGGCTTCCACAGTATGTTTATGATATGTAGCACCCCCCCTACCCCCACTAAACTTTTAGTGGGTGTCCTCCTTTTTGACCCTTCGGCCTCCTTTTTGACCCTTCGTCCTCCTTTTTGGACGCTGGTGTCCTCCTTTTTAGATTGGTGCCAGTGGTCACCATAGTCACGAGTCACTCTGACTGCGCTGTTAGCGCCGCCGCCTGCAACATTGTCTTCAATGAATCAAGACTCAGCCAGAGCAGCCAAGGTGCTCCATCAGCCTAATATCCAGCCAGTCCGATTTGCTTAAATGTTGTGTTCCCAGCTTGCTGTCCCCAAAAACAGAAAGTCACAACTGCTTCATATGGGGAGACATTATTAAAAGTATTTGAGGAGTTTCCTAATCACGGCTGTCAGCCAGGGGCCCTGGCTGCTGCATACTGCATACTGCATACTGCAAACTGCATACTGCATACTGCATACAGCAAACTGCATACTGCATACTGCATACTGCATACTGAGAGGAGGCTGATGGCACCATCTGCATCCACACATCATGAGTCAAAAGCATGTTCGACGTCCACGAAACATCTATCATATTCTGACGAAGGACCTGCGGCGCCCAAAACAAGATCCCCGGGCCTATTGGTGGTGCCCCATAATGCATCTGGACACATGCTCCTCCCCCTCACAGGCTACTGAGGGAGCAGAATGAAGTACACGTAGACCACGCTTCAAAAGAGAAGGAGGTGACCCTAGAACGGGAGTTTCAGCGCGTGACCATCTCTGGAGAGGAGAAATGTGGGGTAAGAGCCTCTGGCTTGCAGAGAGACTGTCCCTGGTCTGTGTCCCCTGAAGAGCAAACACAGCACAAGGCTCCTACATGGTCAGACTAACCGTGCCATGAGCTGTGAAGGAGCTGCATGATAAACACTAAGAATTTGTCACTCAGAACTGGATCTGTTACATCCACCTGCAGGTTGATGACTATATTTTTTCGCAAACGTTTGCCCTATTTGTATCACCACATCCTGACCTCTTGAAGCTGAGGTGCAAGGGCAAGTTTTCCCAGACGCCCGTCCATATGCCCCCCTCCAGGTGCCCTTCACGGACCTGCTGGACGCAGCCAAGTGTGTGGTGAAGGCCCTGCTGATCCGGCAGAAGCACATGGCCCTGTCGATGCAGGGCTTCTGCAGAACTACGTCGTGCTACCTGCAGGAGCTGGGTGAGAAGCCGCCAGTGCTGCGCGTCTACGAGGACATCCCGGAGACACCAGTGGCCGCAGGTGGGGGTCCCTGTCAGCTGGAGGCTTGAGGTGCCTCGGGGTGGAAAGTAGAGTGGTGAAGAAGGAGACCTCACCTCTTGCTATCCCCTCATCCTCCACAGATGCCCCTGTGCACCCACCGGTTTCAAAAACTCATCCCTATGAAGGCCAAGACCCCAAAAACATGCCAGCAGACATAGGGTACGGCCTCAGGATGGTGGATGGCGTGGTCCATGTCTACACTAAGAGGAACACCCTTGAGAAGTGAGTGACCAGAGATGCAGAGTCAGAGGTGGGCAGTTCAGGTCCAGAGAGTAGAAGTCCAGACCAAGATTTTGTTTCAACCAACCTATTGAGTATTCTGCGACCGTGACTCTTTATACTCAATGGGTTGGTTGAAACAAGAACTTGGTCTGGACTTCTACTTTCTGGACCTAGATTACTCACCTCTGCATAGAATACATGCTAACGTAAGTTTGTCTATTTTATAGCAAGCATACTGCCTACCAGACTTTGAGCATAGTTGCTAATGTATGGCATACAAGCTGTTGATACAACTTTTCCTGCGCTATTCCCAGGAGTACCGAGCTAGATCTGCCGTACCCAGACTTACAAGAATACATCACCGACATGAACATGATGATGGCCCTTATCATCAATGGCCCAGTGTAAGTGAAATATGTCAGGAGTCCATCAGGACTGCTCTCAAACTAATCCCTAATGAGCCAGCGGGGTAACGGATAAGTACGGAGATGTCCAAGACACCTCAACCTGGAAACACATTCCGCTCCAGAAGCAGCAGTGACTGTTTCAGGGACAGCTGGCTGAAACAGATAAAGGCAAGAGTACAACAAAGTTGGTCTCCATGGAGACCAAAAGTCAATGAGCCTTAACTATAAGTATGACATCACTTCAGCTAAACCGCCCAGCATCCCTACACTGTATCCCGTCATTTTGTTAGCTGACACTGATGGCTTTCTGTCTTCACGGGTGGCCATCAGGAAGTCCTTCTGCTACCGCCGACTGCAGTATCTGAGCTCCAAGTTTCAGATGCACATCCTGTTGAATGAAATGAAGGAACTGGCAGCTCAGAAGAAGGTCCCTCATCGTGACTTCTATAACATCCGCAAGGTGATTCCATCCTGTTGGCATACATAGAACATGCCCATCATTCTTAATAAATGAAACCCAAAGTAGGCCTGTCTTTGGTTTTTTCAATAAGATTGTGAACTCTACACCCAGGTGATTCACTTGGTGATGCCTTGTACTCCTTCCTCCTGTAGGTGGACACGCACATTCACGCCTCCTCCTGCATGAACCAGAAGCACCTCCTTCGCTTCATCAAGCGGGCCATGAAGAAGAATCCTGAGGAGATTGTGCACATAGAGCAGGGCAGGGGCCAGACTCTCATGGAGGTCTTCGAGTGCATGAACCTCACGGCCTTCGACCTGAGCGTGGACACACTCGACATGCATGCTGTGAGAGTCGCGGACAGGGTTCATGGTGGGAGGAGAGTGTGGGTGGAGCTATGGGTATGATGACAGATAGTCTGTGGGCGGGGCTATGGGTATGATGGCAGACAGTCTGTGGGCAGGGCTATGGGTATGATGACAGTCTGTGGGCGGGGCTCTGGGTATGATGAGAGATAGTCTGTGGGCGGGGCTATGGGTATGATGANAGTCTGTGGGCGGGGCTCTGGGTATGATGAGAGATAGTCTGTGGGCGGGGCTATGGGTATGATGACAGTCTGTGGGCAGGGCTCTGGGTATGATGAGAGATAGTCTGTGGGCGGGGCTCTGGGTATGATGAGAGATAGTCTGNAGTCTGTGGGCGGGGCTCTGGGTATGATGAGAGATAGTCTGTGGGCGGGGCTATGGGTTTGATAGCAAATAGTCTTTAGCTTGTGCAATCAAATTACTGCACAGCCCTATAACCAACAGCTCTTCATGATCAATACCCCAAATCTCATAGCTCCTCATCCCTTACAGGACCGCAACACCTTCCACCGCTTCGACAAGTTCAATGCGAAATACAACCCCATTGGCGAGTCCATTCTACGGGAAATCTTCATTAAGACCGACAACTACATCGAGGGGAAGTATTTTGCACACATCATCAAGGTGAGACATCATCTACAGTCCAGTTTAGCTACAGAAATGAGTCCACAGTCAGGCAATAGACTCAAACCATCTAAAAGCCAGTTTGCAATGAAAACCATTTTATTTTCCTACACTAACTGTAATGTCCATTATGTAAATTATACTAACACCACTGTACAAGGTTTGTGTACTATGGGTCACGGAACCACTTTTTAAACCCTGGTGGACAAGTTGGTGTATTTGGCTAAAAATTGTAAGCATACCAAGCATAAAATCAGTCAGGAAGGAGTATGTGATTATTAACTTTTGTATATGGTAAGTAAAATTTAGAACAATTCCTGTTATTATATTGCAGGATATTTTCTAACAAAGTAAATTAGTATGACAGCATTATATACCTTCACGTTTCACCAAAACGATATGGTGGTGAATTCAAGATCACCCTACCATGGCTAATGGTAAAGTGAAAGTGTGTGCATGTGTGTGTGCGTTCACGTCTGTGTGCATGCCCAACACAGGAAGTGATGTCAGACCTGGAGGAGAGCAAGTACCAGAATGCAGAGCTGCGTCTGTCCATATATGGGCGCTCACGGGACGAGTGGGACCGCTTGGCTTTCTGGGCTGTCCGTCATGGCGTCTACTCTGACAACGTGCGCTGGCTGGTCCAGGTGCCTCGTCTCTTGTGAGTACTCCCCTCTCCAAGGCAGAAACTTACCATTAGAGGACTGTACTCTGACATACTCCCATAAATAGCTCACTGGTGTTTTTAGGGTCAGTTTTAATGGGTTGTATTAAGTTACATGCATATTACGTAGCGGTCATTTTACCAGGGAATGCCGAAGATGTCATATGTTGCTCGGATGCAGAAAATTTGATGTTTCTTTTCAGCGTTAAAGAAACTAAATTTAAAATAAGTGCTCAGGACCATAAAAATCTGTATTTTGTTCAAGCAAAAGGGCCGAGCCATTTCTTCATAACATTTGAAGGAAATAATCTATCCCCACAGCTGACCATAAAGTCTAAATACACTCGCAATGAGACACAATAACGCTTCGTTAAATTAATTATCATAATGCGCAAATTTCTCGCTTTGTGATTTTTTTACGGACCAAAGGTATACAGAAGAAACTTTTGGGTTTTTCTGGCTCCTGTTATTCACTCGTTCCCTGGTAAAATGGCCGCCGCCTCATTTGCATTCATTAGGATTCATTCAGAACTTCAGTCTCAAATTCCCCAGCCTAGTGACTCCTCTGCACTTAGTGGACCTTATTCTTCTGCATTTTATGCACCAGATACCCTTCTCGGATCACAAAACAAATAAGCCGGCCACGCCCATGAGATTAATGTTCTCCTCTGGTTTTCTCTCAGTGACGTCTACCACACTAAGAAGCAACTGGCCAACTTCCAGGAGATGCTGGAAAACATCTTTTTGCCGCTGTTTGAGGCCACCATCAATCCCCTGAGCCACCCAGAGCTGCATCTTTTCCTCCAGCATGTGGGTTCTGCTTTTCTAGGTGTTGCTGATAGACCTTATAACACCATGTGTGTGGGGGGGGGAACAAGAGACCTTTCTGAAAGCCACATTGCCTAATAAGCATTGCTGCTGTAGTTAAATGCTGTAGGCCAGGGGTGGCCAATCTTATCCAGAAAGGGCCGCTGTGTGTGCGGAATTTTGCTGCAGTTCCCTAATTGGATTACTGAGTAGAGCACTGATTGGCTGAAGAGTCCTCACACCTGGGTTTGATCAGCTGACCTAAAGGTTATCCCAAAAACCTGCATGCACACTGGCCCTTTCAGGATAAAATTGGCCAGCGCTACTATAAGCCCAAGTCCCAAAGTCCAAAGAAACACACATTTAGGTTAATTGGTGTCTAACTTTCCCATAAATTATATGTCCCCTGCAGAGGACTGGTATCCCATCTAGGGAGCTTCTCTGTGTTGTTCCCTGTGTCTCCAAAGATTGGCTTCAGACTTATAGGATAAATAACGACTGTAAATATCTAATAGTGGCCACGTGTCCATCACGGATTGTGTTGAACATCATTTCTGGATTATTTCTGGAAGTTAGTCTTTGTGTTTAAAGGTGCCATTAACATCTGGTGTGTCTGAGTTCAGGTGGTGGGCTTTGATAGCGTGGATGATGAGTCCAAGCCGGAGAACCACATTTTCAACCTGGACAGCCCCCTTCCAGTTGACTGGACGGAGGAGGACAACCCACCCTACTCCTACTACCTCTACTACATGTACGCCAACATGACCGTGCTCAACCACCTGCGAAGGTACGGTGCCAAGGATGTCCGCTAAAGGCGGGCGGGACTCCTCCATGTCCAGCATCTGCTCTTCCCCCTGGGCTCCAACAGCTAGTAAACAGCACTGCATCTTGGACTAGAAATGTCCCCAAAAGACTGAGAGGCTGAATTTGTCCTTTTGGGGTTGGGATTCAGGAAGCGTGGCTTCCGCACCTTCGTTCTGCGGCCGCACTGCGGAGAGGCGGGGCCTATTCATCACCTGGTGTCGGGATTCATGCTTTCCGAGAACATCTCGCATGGCCTCCTGCTGAGGAAGGTGAGGCTCGATCTGCCGCCGCTCGACGCCTTGGGGGGTGGGGGTGCGGCCACCCGTCTCCCGGTGACATGACTGTGACACGCATGGCCACTCCTGTCCCAGGCCCCGGTGCTGCAGTACTTGTACTACCTGGCCCAGGTGGGCATCGCCATGTCGCCCCTCAGCAACAACAGCCTCTTCCTCAGCTACCACCGCAACCCCCTCCCCGAGTACCTGTCCCGCGGCCTCATGGTCTCCCTGTCCACCGACGACCCGCTGCAGTTCCACTTCACCAAGGTGAGCGACGGACACTCGGGGGTAGTACCGAAATCCGCGCCTACGTCTTTTATGAAATGCGTGTAGACGCACACGTATGATGCCCCCCCCCCATTCCCCTTAACGTGTTCCATGTGGCCCTCAGGAGCCGCTGATGGAGGAGTACAGCATCGCCACCCAGGTGTGGAAGCTGAGCTCCTGCGACATGTGCGAGCTGGCCAGGAACAGCGTGCTGATGAGCGGCTTCTTCCACAAGGTCAGTCTGCCCTCCACCACCAGCGAATCCAGCCACTCACACGCCACTCCACCCTCTCTAAGGTCACGCCCACACCTCGTCAGCCCCATCCACATGTCTATAGGCTGATTTATACTTTTGTGGAGCTTATGCTGTGACCTATACAAGTGCCCCCCCCCCCCCGGTGCGCCAGCACCCCTTCCCCCCCCCCCCCCCCCCCCGGTGCGTTTGTGTCACTGCAATCAGACTGCAAAACACTAGGCGGTACATAGTTCTGGGTGTTGCATTTGTCTTCCCACCCCTACGATATATTCAATCGTTCAATAACACAATTGAAATAGAAAAAAAACAACATTTAACAAGGCATCCATTTATCGTACTCTGGTTATGTTCGCTCTTTTCCAAACTTCCCGTAGGCAGATTTGGAAAAAGGTCGAGCTGCTACACTTTTTACGCATTTTCTAAAATTAGTGTCTACACTACTTTTACTTTTACTTGTTTTTTTCGTCTTAACGGAGGGAAGTGAAATTGGCGCCGTCATCCTGAGTGTGGACCAATCACGGTTTTTGTGGTCTGTATTTCCACGATATGTGGTTACATTTCTGGGGAGATGCACGTCAGGCTACGGCGAGGCTATGCCATACTTACGCCGTCAATTTGGCACAGAAGTATAGATCAGCATTCATCCTGCTCCACTTCTTCTTTCTGTCAATTAAGTGGCAGATGTTGCCCCAGACATCTCCAGCCAGTCCTGAGGCCCGCCTATGCCCCTCTCCCCAGGCAAAGAGCTATTGGCTGGGCCCTGGCTACTTGAAGGAAGGCCCTGAGGGCAATGACATCCGGCGCACAAACGTGCCCGACATCCGCGTGGCATTCCGGTTCGAGACGCTGTGCGAGGAGCTGCAGCTCATCACCCAGGCTGTCCGTACCGCAGAGCTGGAGCCCATCCCGGAAGAGGACAGCCTGTCCATGGCTCCACTCCCAGGGGGACGATAGGCAGCCTCACCCCGTCCTCTCCCTCCCCCTCAAACCAACAGGGAAGGCTGCCACCTCCTGGGCATGAAGAGTACTGCATGCTCACAGCTCAACCTATATCTTGACACCAACTAAGCAACCAGTGTCAGACACAGGCTAGGCCTGTCTTCCGGCAAGGGTGGCTGGCGTTAGCGATTATTATGCCAGTGCTCTGTGTGTGTGGGGGGGAGAGAGAGAGATCTGTCTCTGCCAGCTGCTGTCTCACTACCTCCTTTCTTCCTCACTGTGAAACTGTTTCGGCAAGTTAATAAGTGACAGCAGTTTCTAACACTGAGTGTTGGACACCTTGAAAGATGCATGAAGGTATGGGGTCAAATCCCACTCCCCTCCCCCCCGTGCTGCTCTTCATGACGCACATGTGTTTATTGCACCTGCTCGCCCCCCCCCCCACCCCGTGCCCCACACAGGCTGTCTTATCCCTGTGACACATAATAGGTCCATTATAAGTAGTGGTCACGCTCTGGGAGTTTTAGGGGGGGGGGGGCACCCCTGGGAGGAGGAACCAATCCTGATCCACATTCCAACACATAACAGGGTAGAAACCCAAGCATTTTATGTAAATGTTGAGTTTAGAAACCCCGTGTGTTCCTGCGTGTTTTTTATGCCACATCTCTTCTCCATGTCCCCAGTTCTGACCGGTGCAGTGTTTCTCGTAAGCTTGCTGTCCGCCCACTAATGGGCAGCCCCAGTTACCGTGCG